AAGAGCTTACACGAATTGCAGGGACAAAAGAGGAGAGCCCTATTCTAGATTATGCTCTCTGTGGAAAACCCCAACCAAGACCTTCACTGAAGTTTTGATTCTTTATCACAAAGTGATTAACTCTGACGTTCGCTGGGAAGGAGCTTGCATCGGTGTGAGTGCTGGCTTGTGCCCAGCATCATAGAGACATCGCTACTTCGGATTAAGCGAAAAGGAGCAGACTTTCTCAGGTCTGTTGCCCTCTGCATTGACATTAATATGGGGTAGGAAGATTTCTTCCTGAAATTCAGGGGACGTATGACCCTTATGTTGGTTGAATGTGTATAATGACCGAACCATTCAGCTCCCAGACAGACTTCACTTGTTTGTGGCTTTGCAGCTCTCACAATCTATCTGCTAACAACAAAAATATTCCAATTATTTGGAATGATGACATCATCCATGCAATTGACCCAAAGCCAACATCAGCACTTCTACAAAACAGACGGTTATTTCTTGTTAAGAATTATCATAGTCTTCGTACTGACCACACTTTGCATCAGTTGAGCTCCAGCATGGCGAGGCCACTGGGAAGCAGTAACATTTGCAGTAACAAAGCCACTGAGCAGACACATCCCTCAGTTCACTTGGCGACTGGGTCTGAAATGATGTATCTGCTGGTTGCTCACATGCCACAGCGTCACTCTACTTCAGTTTGAACAAACCTGGCTTACACAAATGCAGTGGGCAGCAGTCGAGCTTGGAGGACCAGGAAGGATAAGCTGTTCTGAGGTGCAGAGTTGAGCTACTATGCTGCCAAGTGAAGTGGTTCAGGAAAGGCCAGGGGGGCAGCAAAAACTGCTGGGAAGTGGCACAAGGCTGAACTTCAGCTGTTGCAAATGGAAAGATCAGCAGAGGATGCTCACACTGAAAAAGCCTGGAAAAAGCAGATAGGTATCTAAAACATTTTGAAAAGCCTCCAGTCGTGGTGCTTTTTTCAGTGTAATAAATCCTTGTTGGATTAATTACCTAATAGTGAAATTATCCCACTCTGCTAGAGGCAGATTTCTTGCTGAAGTGAGAACGAGTATAATATTTTAATGTAAAATATGGTAGTTTGAAGAAGGCAGCAGGGGCAGGGCTGCACTCAGCGAATGGACACTTAATTCCCTGTCATTTCCCTACTCAGGCCTGGTAAAACATATCATATCTGCCATTTGAATTTTAGGCCAAGATAAAAGGAATCTTGTAAAGCCCTATAGCACAAGAACGCTACATATTTAAAGCAGTAAATTCTCACAGGGACTGTGATCCTTTTGCAGCATAGATTCATTGCAGACAGACTGCTGGGAGGGAGAGCAGGGTCATTTCACAGGACCACAACGGCAGCCAGCACCTGGGGTCCTGCTGCTACAGGCAAACAGTGCTGCTGCAGTGCTGGGGTGGTTTATGTCCATGTAATGCCTGTAGGTCTAGAAACCACCAGAAAATGGACTGGGAGCTTCTCCGTGTCCTGCTTGAAGTAAATTTGTCAAGATCCATCCAGGTCCTATTTAGGCACCACCAGAGTTGTATGTCAGGTTCCTGGAAGTAAGAAAGGTGAAGGACCTTTCCATGAACTAGCGCAGAACTGGGCCCTGCAGAATCTTCCATAGACAGAAAAAAAATCCTGAGCTGTTTTAATTTCCCATAAAAGGCAGGAAGCAAATTGGCAGTGTAAGTGCCTATGAAGGCAAAAAAAGAACTGAAACAGGCCTTTCTTCTGTCCTTTCCACTTGATAATGAAGGCCTGAAAAGCTCTAAATCGGCGGGTTTTGTTCTAAGGCTTTAATTCTTTCCCCATTAGGACAGCTGGAAGAGTTTCTGGACAGTCAGAAAAGAGGTCAGTATGTATCAGAGACAGTAGAGAAACCTGCAGATTTGTCTGTGCAGGGATGTTTAAATCTCAGTGGCAGATTACCCAGTACGTTGCGCATGGTAGTCTGGACGCTGCAGACATTTCTTCCAGGACAGGACTGCGAGCAAATGTCCAGCTCAGCCTGTACAAATGCACGAATGAGCTTGAATTATTTGCAGTCAATTGACACCAGTCGAGTACTTCTGTGTTTCCATGTTTACGATTTGTGTAGACAAATCCTGAGAAGGGCAGTGATTTTGAGTCTGATTATTAAAAGCTTCTTTGCTTTATTTTCTTAACAGCTGTTTCATCCCAACAGTTGGGAAAAAAACACCTTTTCATAAGGATTCTGTAAGGATCTTTCAGCTGGAGGACGAAGCAATTTCCCATCTACACTTCCTGGTGTCTTTCCATGCGACCAATGAATAATTCTTCCCGATATTTTAAAAGTTAGAAAAATAATAAGCAGTAAATGACAGTTAAGGAGAAGTAAGCCAACCCAGACTTAGCCCTGTCAGCAAAGTCTGGTTGTTGCCCCCGCATTTCCAGATCACCTTAGCAGTTGTATTTTCTGCAGGTTTGAGCAGGTTACCCCAAGTTAACCTGTATTTGTTTGACAAAGCGTGATTATTACTTGTAACTTTTGAACCTCAGTAGTCACAGAGAGATTACGAGTGGCTCGGGGAAGGCATTTTGGCACATCTCATCTAGTCCCCATGCTTGTAGAGCCTTCTCCAGCACACTAAATCCGTCGTCTGTTGGGTCAGAAAAGTACGTAAGCTGGCTGAGCCCCAAAATCATCTGCTCATGAGACAAGCTGGCCCAGGGCTGGAGGGATGGAAATCGTAACACCTGCTCGGAGGTGGCGTGTTGGCCGGCTGCTCAGAGGAGCTGGGCTGAGCCGCAGTCCTGCCTGGCTACTCTCCCACTGCCCTTCCAGCCCTGCCGAAATCACTCAGCCCCACAAAGATGTGTGGGCAAGCGAGAGCAGGGAGGAAGTGATGGCTGTTGCTTAAAAAAATAACGTCGATGCTTGGGGAGCCTTCCTTCCTCTCCAGGGTGTGACATTTGTCAACTGATGTTGCATCTAACCCAGTGATAGCAAGAGCTGGAGAGGAAATACTCTCCCCTCTTGCCTTCCCTGCCTCCGGCACCCGGAGTGCACAAGAGAAGGCAAAGGGATGGCCGGCAACTGCGCTCAGCTTTAATTTAACTTAGAAGTAGGTTTGTCCAGCTCCTTGAGGGCAAAGAGCATCCAGCAGCCCTTCACGCTTCTGAGCGAAGCCCCAGGCCGTCCCTCGCAAGAGACCTTCACGCTAGCCCTGGGGGCGAGTGGTGTCTGGATAATTCCTGCAACCAGCTACGAGGAAATATTTCTCCTCTCCCCCCACCCCAGGAAAGCTCTGCATGTGGAACTTGTTAAAGATTTGTCCTGAGCTTGTTTTTTAAACATAAGCCACGAGTCCGGGTGGGCCAAGGAAAACATACCAGCGCAGAATACACCTCATCAGCTCCGCCAACCGCTCTGCAGGCACCGGCTTCGCCGCGGCC